CACGTATAATTCAAAAAGAATTGTTGAGGTCACAAAGAAAAGCCGAAGCGTTTCATTTTGACAAATACTGAACATTCGTTGTTCCGGTGATTCTCACCCCACTAAATGATTGCAGTACTAATTCGAGGTTAGAGGTGCATTAAATCCATTACGTAGATTATCATGATTAAGCGGTAGCGAACAAATGTGAATATTAAAACGGTAGTCCTCCATTAAAATAAACTTCATTTTTCTAATGCATACAACATAAATATCTGTCTTGTCGCTTTATTACGAAAGTTTTATCGTGTAAGTGGTTGTATTCGTCATATTATTAGGATTGTGTGTATTAAGAAATAAATAATGGAGGGTATTTGGGGAATGAGGGGGCCGTCTTGAAATGAACGAAATACAATAAGTCAGGGATGTTTACGTACTAAGTTAACATGGGATATATATGTTGACGGGTTCTTAAGAAAGCAATCAACTTCAGCGCCGTGGGCAACGATCAATCTGCGACGTACCCACACAGAATATTTTGACCATACCTTATGAACAAAAATCTATAAATGTTACTAATCAATACAACAAAAGTCGGCGCTGGTAGCTTTATTAATATTTGTGGATAGGCAATCAGGTAAATAACTCTTTTTCTAGACCCATTTACTCAACGCTAAAATTATCTCATGTTAATTTATAGGCATTCTCGTAGAATTTATTATTTCTATACAGGGTGTTTTTTTGGAAGTTTTAGTTAAACGTTTCTGGGAAAGTGAAATAGGTAAGTTTTTGAAAATGTGTACTTAGGAATTACTCTGAAGGCCGAATCGATATAAAATATTTTCAAAATGGTCACACTTCCGGAAATACCGGAAGTAGCTAGTACCTTTGTTATTTTAAATTGCACCCCCATTTTTTGATTATACGTGAAATCTCAGTTCTTTTGGTACCCACATGTCGATATCTGCCATTTATGGTTTTTAAGTTATTTTGACTTTAAGAAAAAAAATGGCGGATGCAGACGATACCTTGATAATTGCTTACTCGAAAACGGTTCTAGTTATGGTAACCCATTTTTACCAGTGAGAGAAAGAATACGACTTTTTTTAGGGTACTTAAAAAAAGTTAAGTTGCGTACGACCGCACCTATGGAGATTCAAATTTAAAAAAAACTTTAAAGACTAAAAACTCAGTTTTTTTTAATGAAATGACCATTTTCTTACTATTGCATTAGATTAGATAGAGTATCGAAATTGTCATATTTATTTCAGAGGGTTTTAAAACAATTTGATCCTATTTTCATTTCATATAAGTTTGTGTTTCCTTTTTTATTAATTAATTATTTAGATTAGAATCAATGATATTAAATGATTTGTTTAAAATCTGATTCGCATATAATCATGGCCAACTACTCAACAGAAAATGCGAAAAAAATGGTATCAATTCAATGAAATGGGAATAACTCAGAAACTGTTAAGGTGGCATTTACATTGAAAAATTGAAAATTTGTTTCCACAATAACTGCCTTCTGGGTACAAATTTTTGGTTGAAATAACATTCATTCAAATGTATAATGTTTCGACATTTGCATGAAACAAACATTATTTAGCTAATTCCCGCACTTTCGCCGTTATTTAGGAAATAAGTTGTTAAAAAACTCCCATATAATGCATATAGATGTTTCATTTTTATCACACACTGATAATAATATGTTATCATCGGTCGTTAACAGAAGTTTATTTTTTTACCTCGAAACAAAGTTATTGAGGAAATCGCAAGGCAACTTTTGCACTTTTTGTAAACGCCACCTTTAAGATATCTATAGGAACATGTAATATCAAAATATGCCTATTTCGATTCTCTATCTAATGAAATAGTAAGAAAATTGTCATTTCATTTAAAAAAACTGAGTTTGTAGTCTTTGAAGTTTTTTAAATTTCAATCTACATAGGTGCGGTCGTACGCAACTTAACTTTTTTTAAGTACACTAAAAGAAATCCTACTATTCTTTCTCTATGCACTGGTAAAAATGGGCTACCATAACTAGAACCGTTTTCGAATAATCAATAACCAAGATATCGTCCGCAACCGCTATTTTCTTCGTTAAAGTCAAAATAACTTAAAAACCATCCATGGTTTCAAAAGATCTGACATTTCACGTAGAATAAAAAAATGCAATTAAAAATAGGGGTTGCCATTTAAAATAACGAAGTCAGAGTAACTCCTAAGTACAAATTTTCAAAAACCTGCCTATTTCACTTTCCCAGAAACGTTTATCTAAAGCTCGCAAAACATTCTAATATATTGGTGGGCGAAATGGAGTAAGAGGCGTAGTGGTAGGTCAAAACTTAAAAATCACAAAACTTATATCCTATATACGAGGGCGTTTTTTTCTAAATTATCTACCTGTGGTAATTAGGTCACGCTAACCAAGTTCTTGGCTAACAAATAACTGCTAGTGTTCGAAGCTTCGGTATGTTTGCTTAGCTGTTAGAGGGTGTAATTAAGCAACCATGTAGTGAGTACTTCTGTACCGCTTCACATCATTGGGCGGTTTTAGCAGTATTTTTTGTTTCAAAGAATGACTCCTTACGACAGAGCAGAAACTGACGAGCAAAGAAATTTGTTAGGGGCATTGGAACGCTTTAGCGAACGATATATTTCGTGTATTTTACGTAAGTGTTTTACTAGAGCCCCTCCAACAAAACAGAAATCAGAAATCACAAAAAAAAATCAAACACCCAGTCTTCGTCTGGAACATTGAGGGACCACGATTCATGGTGAGGTTTATGGAAACACGACCAAACAGTGAGCTGTTTCGCGAAAATAGCCGAGGCCACAAAACTCGCCATGTTCAAGTGATATCGTAAACTACATAGAATTACCGCCATCCACCAGACTGGCCAGATTTAGCACCATGCGATTCCATCTTGTTCAAACATCTAAAAAAATTCCTCGGAGGCCGCACATTTGCCTCCGAATAATCTGAAAAGCGCAGGGGTGTCGTTTTTGACGTTGACATTGATTTAAACACTAAGGGAATGATTCAGAAACAAATGCTATTGTTTCATAAATCTAACGACAAATAAATTTGACGCTGAATACTTTTTTAATATTTTTAGATCTGTAAACTAAAAAAAATAACTCGTAGCAGGCCAGTAAGCGAAGTAAAAAAACCTAGACATTTTTTCAAAACGCAAAATCTACATTATGTCCCTTTTTGACAAAACCTATAAAGAATATATTGTTTAAATTAGGTTTCAGATAGGTTGAGTAATCATTGATAGGTGCTTTCGAATATTAATTCAGAATTTCAACCCTTAGAAATCAACCCCTGGTTTAATTAAAGAGTATACCCTCACAAAATTAATAATCTATCACAGCGTTTTGACTAAAAATGTCATTGCTTAAAATATTAATGATTTATTTATTTATTTATTTATTTATTGTCCCTCTCTTGTTCTGGACCCTCAACAGATTACAGGATGACCCGCATAATGTTTTTTTCGGAAAAAATGATTGGTTTTTTCATCATAACTCCTATGTAGTTTTTATGACAGAAAGAGATCACATACGCTCATTACGTTTGGCATCTTGATTTTAATGTCGGTCAGGAAAGCTTAATACAGTTTGTTGTTGTTATTTTGTGTTATTTAGTGCAGGTAGTAATCTTTGCATTAGTTTATGATTTATTTGTGTTTTCTATGCAACATTTGACATGTTTTTATAATTTTCCATCTTTGTTTTTTACAATGACTTGATTCAACCTAGATGCAGAATCACGTATTTGACACCGTTAACATTTTGTTTGAAATTGTTTTTGGTGTAATGTTTGCTTATGTTTATGTTTTGGTTGCATGGTCTTGACCAGAAGTAATATTCATATACAATTTAATCATGTGGAAGTTATCGAATTGTTTGATATGTGTATCGACGCCGAGGTGTTATTTGTAAACTAAAATTCCGTGAATAAGGCAGTCACTAGGGTGGCAAAAACTGTAACCAAATGACTTACGACACCTAATGCTATGATTGACCTCCTCTCTCAACTATAGGATCGGATACAGCGGACGAGGGGCGAGTTACCTACCTCGGGGGGCGAGGTTCAGCTACTAAAAACTCTTCGGTTTAGAATCTATGTGTGAGAAATGAGTTACAATTCACCGATTTCCACATATTTTGATGTAACATTGAATTTTCCCTAGAAGGCCATGTAATTTTCCATCTTCCTCTTAACAGAAGGATTTTCTTGCACTAAAGATGAATCACATCCTGTGTCATCCATTTCTTAGAATTTTTGCTACCTACTTAGGTATCCTAAACTTGTTTTTCACTTTGACTGTAATCAACTGGATATCAAAGATCAAGATTGTTGAATATTTGCACTTCACATTGTATAAATAATAAATAATTAAACGCCCAAATTTATTCCTTAATCCTGCCTTAATCCTTACAACAACGTCCCAGACTGACATTGTTTACACAACAGTATAATTAACTGTAATTAGTTGAAGGGGTTACAGATAATAACCGCCGATTAAGTCCAGATTACATCTGTTACATGCGCTCTTAAAAAATTGAAGTTTGACACCTTCCGATGTCGGGGAAAGGCGTAACTAATTAAAAACAGTTTAATTTGTTTGAACGTATCGAAGATATAAGCGTACGAAACGGAAATACCTACTCGAAATGAACGCGGTATAAAATAGGTCTTTTTTCGCTTTGGATTTTCGTAAGGCATGAACATGAATTTTGAAATAGGCGTTTTCACTTTTTCCCTGAAACTATTTCGACACCAAAAATCTGTTGTTGCGCACGTTCATAAAATGTGTTGCGAATACTCGTAATTGCAGGCCGAGGCAAAGTCGAGGCCTGCAAACTTACTTACACTGACTTTATAAACTTGTGATGCAAATAGCTTATCACTACCTTCATAAACACAGAACAACGTTAAAAGATGAACGAACGAAAACCCAAAGTACAGCAAATGTCTCATTTAAGTGATACCAAAAAAAACTCACCTGAGCCAGTAACGTTTGGTGATTGAAGTATGGCAGCAAATGGCGTCGTACTGATCGGCAATCCATACAATTAAAATTATATAGAAGGCGGTGGTGGTATCGTTGAAAAACTCCGACATGATGGCCTCCATTCCTGCAACGAAGAGCACACATGGATATTAATTGCCGTTTTAATTTACACAAAGCGCGAATAATAAAAAGGACCGTTTTCGGAATTGTTAGAATAATTAGCAAACAAAAATTATGTGGGAGATAAATTACTCGTCTCGAGTTGAAAGACGAAGGAGCGGTTGTGTAAACGCAATAACGAGGAAAACCGCGCGCGTTCGCTAAGTATTCAGTCGAATATTAATGATACTGACTCAAACTTACTGTAGAGAATCAGATCGAATTGAAAAGACGCAATTAATTTAAACTGAGGAAAAATTAATAAAATCAATCAACGTAAATGTGGAACTGTTGTGGGAAAGTCAAAGGGTATATTTTTCAACAAACAGGAAACCATACAAACAATGGCCCAGTTACCCGCACACGCCCTTTTGACAACACGCTGCCATTTCACGAAGCACCAAAGTTCTTTCATACCCAGCTTTGCATAAACGAACCAATTACAAACTGTATTCCTGAAAAATATGCAAAATACCGAAGAGAAGACCTATACGTTTGATATTCCAATAAAAAGCCGATATAAATGAATAGCTCACAACAAACGCGAACACACGGGACCTTTTTTCTTGTGTTACAATTGCTGCCATTAAAGGAACTCAAAAACCTTACTCAATATCTAAAATAAATTTTTTCGTGCTTTTGATATTCTTTTCATGTATACAAATGGAAACCTAACATCACTTCCTAACAAAGCTTTCGCTAAAATGGAAATAAAGCGTGTTTATCAAGGATAATAGAGCAAATTTATTTTCCCGTTCCACTTATAATAGTATTTCTGTTAAAGAAGTTAAGACCAAGTACTTATATACTTCATAAACGAACGTACCTACTTTATAAGCGACTACTTTACATTTTAAAGTTGGAAGCGCGCATAAAAAATTAATAAATTTGTGCACACGTCCGCAAAATGTAAAATAAAAGTAATCCCTTTTCAGACATTAAGAAACGAATAAGTGAGCCTCCAGCGTACCTTCTTGAATTGGAATACAAAGCATGAGGAGAATTAAAGCTGACTGCACCAACTGTTAGATGGAAAATTGAAACCGCTTCTATTAAATATCGACATTTCATACAGTACTAAAATAATTGCAATGCAAGAGAATAACTAACTTTGAAACGCTTTGTATAAACCACATCGAAAAAAGTCGAGATGGACGGTCCAATGCGAAAAATTACTATTACCGAAAGTGCAATCATTTTTTCGTTTGGGGTAATAATCATTTTCAGCAATCGGCCTCATGATGGATGCGACCATCCGTCATCGAGTTCGACATCTCTAGCTTTTACAATGATCGCTATTAGAGTTACGCTGTTGGTTAATTAATCAGTAATATCATTCTCGCTTATGTTGATTTTAACGTATCCTATTAATTAACTATTGTGCTCTGTTTTGTAGGATTACAATTGCAATTTAATATCTGTCATTACTTCGATTTTTCACTGCCATACATGCACGGCAATAATAAGCTCTTGTTTCACATCGTGACTATTAATATTGTGCTATTGGCCTTTGTAGGCTTAATCTAAAATATAAATGTATCGGCACTGTATGGGGTTTAATTTAAAAAGCATTTTCTCCTCTCACTACGAACTCCATTGCAAAAGTTACTCTGTCTCCATCTGTTTATACAGTGTTGTAAAAAAGTGGATGGTACAAGCCAAAACAAGTACATTCCTAATAAGGGTAAGTGTTTCCTTCTATCCCTAAACATTGCTCTTCTAAACTCGCCTTTTTCACTGAAAATTATACGCGAAATCGGAATAAAAACTGAACGTTTCAAAAAGAGGATACTGTATAAAAAACACACAAATTGCATTACAAGCTGAAGGGTAGATACCTACATTTTTAAATCATGACAATGTTACCAATTAATCAAACATCAAATATCTACTTAGGGGAGCACTGAAGGAACCCATCGGGCGGCTGGCGAATAGGGGAGCGCCCACATAAACACCTGAATGATCGTAAACTGACCCGTGTTTCGGTGTGGGTAGTAAAGATTATAATGCGCTCGTCGGAGCTGAAACCCGCACTGGTAGCGACGACCTCCCAAGTCAAGGTTAGCAACTCTGCAGATGCCTGTGTGGCACTGGAATGCAATGTCGATAACGGTGCTCCTCGGATACCTCCGCGTGATAGCTCCATTCGTTTGAATGGGGTGGCAGCCAAGTCCAGGACAAGCGGCACTGCCCAGGTCTTGGATACCTTTCCGCACTACTAGTGGGAATTGTATAGACGATTTCAAACTCGGTTCCAGCGCAGGGTCTTATTCAAAGACCTGGTGATGGACCAGCTCCTATTCGCAAGAATAGGACTGGCGCAGAGAAGGTGATGGCCAAGGACCAAGCGTCTCAGATCGGAGAGAAGTTCTCCAGGGTCTGACTCAAAGCAATCTGAACAAATCCGTATGGACAAGCCGCTACGGCGGGGCTCAGGGCAACCGGGGTGCAGGGTGCCGAATGCGAAAACCGCTAGACCTTCGACGGGTTGGAGCGAGGCCTAGGATACTTAAGTATCGTAGGGTTGGAGAGAACCATCTATGTATCTGACCCTGGGATGACGCGTCTCGGAAAGTGCAGAGGCACGTCCCAAAAGTAACCAAAGTGATGGATGACACGACCGCTATCTTGAAGCGCCTCCAGAGGCAAAACCCTGCTTTCAAGACGAGTCTATCGAGGACATTCTTCCGAACGGAGGGGCCTGGTAGTCCTCTTCGTATTTGGTGCCCATGAGGCATCCTATCGGGCAATAGCGCGTTTGATTCGTGTGGTGGTTCTTGGCTCCGATCAGGGTTGGAACCGCCGGCATGACTGAGGAGGGGAAACAGTACACAATTGATGGACGAAGTAACCAGAGCAATTGGTAGCACAGTACAGCTGCTTAATACGTCGGAAACTTTCTGTAAAGCAGACAGTGGCGCACGCCTCTTACAAGAACCTTGGGTTTGCAGAGGACGCGTAAGAAGTCAGGCGAAGGAGTCTTTTTACTATAAGAGGGACCACCAACCCTAGGACTTTGTATTTATATCGATAAACGAATCGAGTCTTATTTAATGACCGATTTCTGTTTCAGGGAACACGTAGTTCTGCAGCTCAAAGATGGCAAAGAACGGTGCAGGCGCTTCGTGATTTGTTCAGGCTATGTCCCGTACGACTCAGAAGAGCCTCCCCCTACCAAGGATCTGGCCGAGTTGATAGAGTACTGTCGAAATGGTGGGCTCTCTCTTGTAGTTGGCTGTGATGCAAGGCATACCATGTTGCGTGGCGCAGCAAGGACACGAACTCGAGGTATGGCCATCTACTGGAGTCCTTGCAAACAACTAATTTGAATTTTTTTAATCCGGGAGCAGCCCTCACCTTCTACACAGCGCAAAGGCAGGAGGTTATCGATCTGACGTTGGGCCTTTTCAATAGCGCACATGATCAAGAATTGGAGAGTGCCTGTAGGTTTCGAAATCCCGATCCAGTGACAGGGACTGCTATGTATGTGGTGAAACTGTCAGAACGGTGAGATGGGCGACCTTTGCTCTGTCGAAAAGCATGGCAGGTGAAAGAGGCTGCTGCCATAACACCGTCATATGAAAAAGTTCGTAAGGAGGTTCGCAGGTTCTTTAATAGGGCCATGCGAACTAAGCTGCGGGTGGACTGGCACGATCTCAAGTTCGCTCAGCGCAGGTATAAGAACCATATTCGAAGATCTAAACGAGGATCTTGGAGTACCCTCTGTGCCAACATAGAGGCTCTTCCTGAAGTACAAAGTTTCGAAACCGGTGTCGTCCAAACACTTCTCGTTCGTGGTGGTGAAACGTCGAGCGAACGCTTCCACCTACATGTAGATATCCGTTACTACCAGGATGAATTTGTTCCTCATTGTGGATTCGACATACCGGGCCATAATGTCGACGGATTTTATTTCCCAAGGTTCTGCTTGGCTCGGCGGACAGTGGCTTTTTGTATAGGCCCGCCATTTGTGGTTGTGCACCCCTTAACACCTGACACGTAATCCCAGACGTGGTTGCCTATCTCTGTCCAGTGATGGCGCAGGTCGTTCTTTAGGCGTCTGGATGACCGACAGTGACTGTGTCGTCGGGAAATTGCATGACGTCCTCGTACATTTCCCGCGGCACTACCAGAAGTGGGCCTTGGGGGCTTCGTTGATAAAGGTGGTTGTTGCGTATGATGTAGGTACTGTTCTTGTGATCGTGTCTGTGTGGGTGTTGCAGGACCCTCCTGACTAATTCGCTTCCATGCGTTCAGCAGCTGTTGGACCGATGGGTTCTTTTCCCAGAGTTGCCCGAAGTCTGCTGCTACAGTCGCTCTGTTTTAGTTCAATAGCGACAATTCCAAATTGTTAGGCGCAAGTGGCGGGTGTGGTGCTCCCAATCGTCGGATTAGAGAACGATATCGTTTAGGTAGAGTAATACGAAATCCTGTCAGGAGCTGTGTCATTAATTTTTGGAAAATCGGCGGGGCATTTCTTTCGGAGCCAGTGTTTGGTTTAGCGTTGCAGAAACGGAATTTAGGGCCGTTACGAGAAGGAGGATGTCCGTAGGGTGGAGTGTTGTCTCCACCGTTGTGGTGCATGGTGTTAGATGGGCTTATCCGCATCGTGAACGAAGACGGAGCCTCCACCCCATTTACTAAAATGTGTTCTCTGATAGAAAAGGCGATATTTTAAGAAAAATAAGAACCATCTCAAATTTTAAAGAGTATTGACTCTTATTTACCCTTTATCCCTTGTCCTTGAGGCAAGAAGAGGATTATTAGCCGACGAGCAGCCGAAGTATATTAATATAATTACACAATAAGAATCACCCCCAGTTTAATTAACCAGAAGAAGTAAGTGAAGGAGTAAATTTGTAACATTCCGTTACAAACGCGAGATGGGATGCCAAGTGATTTTACTTACGAGTCTAGAAGAGTTTTTGTAACATGGAGAATAGAGGTAGTTAAAGGAACATATAG